GCACCGTCCGACAGCACGCAGCATGCACCGCACGACTGCATGCACCACACGGCAGCAGCACTGTGAGACGCGTGCACCACCCGACAGGGCAGTAGAGCGGGGCCCACACGACAGCTCATCAGGGTGGGTCCACACTTATCTTACCACAACAGCTTTGCCTGCCAACTCGCCGCTAGTTACATCATTCCTCATCCCTTATCCTTATCTTATCTTCTTAAGTAAGAGTTGTGTTACCATTAGGAGTAGGTAATTAGGAGTTTGAGTTTGAGTTGGATTACCCTAGCCTAACCGAATCCAACAAGGAATTTCCTTCTGTAATCTCCTATTTAAGGAGCTACGAATTGAATTAAGGGCATTGAATTTTCGAACAAGGAAAGAGCTTAGGAGTGTTAGGATGATCTCTTGGACAAATCACCCCCTAGTTCGCCACAATAGGGTCAGCACGCAAAGGGAAGGGCAAGGGAAGGCTAGGAGTTTTCCCCGTGGACCGCCCCGTGACGAGATCCTACGCACGGGCCCATAACATGGGACACAAATAAAGGAAATACAGGTGTACAAGAAAATGCCACGCCAACCTTTGAAAAATGTAACTAACAGCCAACCACTAGAACAAACTAACTAACAAATTAGACAAGTGGAGAGGCTGGTATAACAGAATTGTAACGGCAATATATAAATAAGGAAAGGAGGTTAGGAGGGGATTATCGATTTGGGAATACAATCTCTCTCTCTCTCTCTCTCTCTCTCTCTCTCAGGAGGCAGGCTCACTCGAAAGTCCTTGAGTTAGGCAATACCTAACATATACCTTTACTCCCTTTGCTCCAAACCTCACCCAATGTTCTTGCTTTTTTTTTTTATTTTTCTTGTCTTTTAAGGCACCAAGGCAAGGCTAGTCAGGGGGGCGCCTTGTCACCTTGTCACCTAGTCACCTAGTTACCTATGAGGTGGATTTTTTTATATAAAAAACATAGATCCTAGGGTAGTTCCTTAGGTACCATAGCCATATTTCCTTAATAATTATTCATAATTTTCATAAGAAAAATATAAAATTCATGTTAAAGTATAGAAAATCAACATATTCATGAGAAAACAAAGAAGGAAAAGAAAATTCAAAAATATAGGGGTTGAACTCTTATTTTTGTTATAGCAAATGAAAAAAAGAAAAAGTAGTAGTAGTAGAAAATGTGTTGATTAGACAAAATTTTAAGTTCTTCCTTATTGGGTCGGGTTTTAAAGTCTTTGAGGGCTCAATACAGCATTTAGCAATGTTTGTATTGATTAAATCCCCTAACAAATAAGAAAATAATAATACCAAATTAGTATATATACACCCAAAATGAATACTTTAGTTTAATAGTGCCTATATTATAATTATAATGTCAAAAAATAAAGAATAAAAAGTATTTTACAATACATACTACAAAACTGCTTGGTGATTAGGCCTTCGTGCCTTGTCGCCTACTTGTCGCCTTGACAACTATGATGATGTCATCTAATTGAATCACTCTTCAAACATCTCACTTTCCTAAACTATCTCCTCCACCAAAAATATCTATTAAATATTATTTCACATCCCCAATAATCTATATCTCTCACTTACACCAATAGAAATTAAGTATGTTCACTTTGAAAATTTGAAAAGAATTCATTTTTTGGGGAAAAAGTATTTGGTTTGTAACAATTTCTTTTCCTTTTTTCTCATTTTTACCCATTCTTGTCCATTTTAAAATTTCATCTCGAGTAAGAATGAAAAAGAATGATAATATAACCAAAAGTGGTAATGTCCAACTGTCCACGAAAACAGTTTCTCTTTTTCTTTCTTGCACAATAATATAGAAATTGTCTTATAAATTTCCCCTCTTGTCAATCATACAAGAAGCTCCCAAGTCCCATTGCAATGAAGATATTACTTTCCAATTGCTTGTATATTTCGCCCGTATTTTGGCTCTAAAAGTTAGTAGAACTTGTCTGTGATTATTGTCATTTTACACCTTAGTTCTTACCATTGTTTATAGGATATGATTGGGTTAGCACCAAAAACCATACACCTCCCATTTAAGAAACACCTGCACAACAACACAAGGTGACCCCCATGATGTGGACATGTAGCATCTTCCCAGCAAATTGGAACACTTAACGCAAAATCCCTCAACTATTAGCCAAATCCATCCTATGGAGTATAGTAAATCTGGATGCCCATATCCAACTCTGCTCTTGAAAGATAAAATAAGAAAAAAAAAACAACAAATGAAAAGGGGTTATTATTGAATTGCTAACTAGTAACTAGTACACATGGACAAACTACAAGAAATTTTTTGATTCCTTTAAGGATTGGTTCTGTACAGAAATCCTAAATCTGAATAAACTACAAATCCTAGAAAAACCAAACAAGACAAGACCCTATAAGATTATAGATCTAGATGGGTTTCGTGCTCCACTGTGATAGAGCCAATTATGATACCAAGTCAAAACTCCGAAAGGTGCATGCATTACAAAAGCATTGGATCTGGCCCCTCAACCAAGGACGACATCTGTGATAGAGCTCAAATTAGCTTTCTGAAACAGCTGATCAGCAGCCCCTCAACCAAGGACGACCCCCTCCAACAAAGCATTGGATCTGGCCTCACCACGATGCAGCTAATTGCTGCTGATGTCATGGAAGTACTCCACAGGTATTGAAGGAGGGCAGTACTTTTTCGCCACAAATTTATACTGGTAACAAAGGAAATGTTTTGACATATAACAAAAACATTACTCCAACGTAAGCACACACAACTTAAGTGAATTATATGAAATTTCAGAAGGAAAGGGTGTTTTGATTACCTTGTGCTGACTGTACTTCTCCCTAATAGCAGGTAGACTGGTGTTAAAGCTGTTACAAAATAGCCTATGGAGCATCTTGACACACTCGCAGAGCTCAGAAGGTTTATACTGTGTGTAATGCCCCAAGGTAGCATTCTATACCACAAAAAGTTATGAACAAATTATGAATGGATAAGTAAATCATTGGATATGGGTATCCAAGAAATAGGAGAAGAGTGCATCGGCAACTGATCAGAACAAGGATTTTCTAGCATTCATGGAAATACATACCCAAGGTCTCTTCAGAGGAGACAAAATAAATTTTGCCAAGAAAATTGCAGAAGCAGCTATCATTGATGGAGCATAACAAAGCACACTGTACTCCAGGAGTGACAACTCTGCAAGGTAATTGGCCATGCACTCGAGATGCAACAGTGGAAGCTGAAACAAGAACAACAGATGAGACCACTCAACAAGAGCAAGATGATGAACCGGGCACACTACAGTAACAATAGTTAAAAAGCACATACCTCGCTGCTTCCTTGAGCAACACGGACAAATCGCCTTTTTTTTGTGAATTAAGCAAGAAGTCAGCACCATGCACAACATTTAAAAACTGACACTAGCTATCTATAACATGAACCAGAGAATCATACCTCAGAAAGCATTTGGCCGTGGGAGCTGTCATTTCAAACTTCAAGTAGTTCAAAACAGCAGCTTCCATTTGCAATACCTGGTTTTATTAAAATTGCAGACTTGTTTAGAAAAGAAAAAGAAATACTGAGAAGAAAGCATCCACTGATGAAAATTTGACCAAAAAGGAAAGACCCCACACCTCGTCCTTGAAGTATGTGTTATCAGTAATGTAGCAAAACTCTTCCACCTGAGGTGCACAAATCTCCTCGTACTTGCTGAGAAAGTTTTTACTATCATAAATATCCATTCTAATTCTCTCATCTCGCACACATCATGCGAGAAACAGTGCACCAAAAACAAGAAACGAAAACAAAGACAAGAGAGACCAGAAATTGGATCTTACGCTGCTATCATCATGCAAGCAACACCAAGCAACTGCAATCGTTGCCTATTCATCACATTGCCTGAAAGATACCGGTCAATGTAATTAACAGTCAAATATAATGTATCCGGTACAAGCCTGTATTCTTCAGCAACCTGTGGAGGAAGATTCGTTATCATTTGAATGACAGAAAAAAGAATGTCCAGAATCGATCACTGTTGTACCAGAAAAACAAATTTCCGGTACAAGATTGCTATATAATTTAACATGGTCTACCTCAACAAGCCAATCGATCAATATTGCGCGCATGCTGGCATTTATGTCCTTCTGAATTTCCTCCATGAAGTTTGTGGAAGGTCTTTTCTTTGTCTGTCAAAAATTCGGGGAATAAGGCATAATTAGCATGGTCCACACACAAAAAACTTTCCCTCTATGTATCAATATAATGAAATTTGATTAACTCTCAGTTTGAGACATTACTAATAAAGAGAAAGACTATCAGCCAACTAAATAACTAGGAAGAAGACAAAATTAATGATATGCATGCCACTCCCAACTGAACAAAAACAACTAATACCTGAGATGTGTGAGGATATGAACAATGTTCAGAAACATGTAGTACATATTATATTTTTTATTTTTTAGATCCAAGTAGAGAGCCAGTGTATGAAGGTCTGAATAATGCAGGGACACACACACTACATAATCTCCAAAAGAACAGAAACAGTTAGTACCTCAGATGCACGCAAGTGCTTGTAAATGTCACAGGCAATTGTTGCACACAGCTGGGGATCCTTATAATTGTCGTCAATATCGATTATTTTATCATTTGTGTCCATCTCCATAAGTATATCTCTCTTGCACAGATTTTCTGAGAACAAAATTTAAAATGAAATAAAATGAGGTCCGTGGATAACACAAATTCTATTTACCAAAAAAATCTAAAAACTACAGTCAAACAAAAGGAACAAGTAAAAAAAGAAGATGAATAGAGATTAGAGTAGATAGAACTTAGAAGATAAAACCTGGAGCAGATTCCACATTCTCCGAGATGTAGAGATTGTTACATGTTCTCCTCTCTATAGATGCAACTGCAGAAGCATCAGCATTGTCTATATATTCGATGTCAGGACTTTTCAGAGAATCACAAGTAGACATGGTCTCATCCAAGGATGCTGAATCTCCATCTGACCGACTGGGAGATATGTGTGCATTGCAAGGGGCAATGGTAGCCAAAACACTAGAAGTAGGTATATCAATTTTTGTGACAGAAGCATCCTTGCTAGAAACAGCAGTAGCTGACTTAACAGCGGTGGATGCAGACACAGAGCTCCGAGGCAAGCTTGTAGGACGTACATAAGTAGATCCTTTTTTCAACTTCACAGTTTTAGATTCTGATGGCACCTTCAATATAGGAAAAGATTTCATTAATTTCTTTAACAAAAAAGATGAAAATCAAATTATATGGAATAGACCATTTATCATATCAAATCAATCTCGTTAAACTGCAAAACTCAGCCGGTTCCAACACAACCTCCTGGAGGGCTTTCAGTCCCCAAGTCAACCGGATCTCGTAGGAGGCATATTCCTAGCTTTACTAGTTCAAACTAGCTTGACAGGCTTGGTTTTATGAATATAATTTAAATAGCATGCATTTGACAATTCCAGACTATACGAATTGGATGGAAATTAAAGAGTGTTCCTAAATCTACCTTACTAAATTCTGAGCCCTAATGGATAATTCATTGTTGAAGACCAAACTAACTGTCGTTTTATGTAATGAAGTCAATGGAAAATTTTTCAAGTAGCCAAAGAAGTAGATGATCGGATACCTACAACATATTATATCTGTTATCCCTCTTGGTAGGAAAGTTCAAGATTAAAGGTTTAAATATAAAATTGCTAAGACCGCAGAATTTTGATTCCAATAGGTGAGATAGCTCTTTTTCCTTGCAGAACAGTACAAAAATGAGGTAAATATACCCAAAATTGACCGAAAATATAGAATCTTTTAAGGTAGAACTGAAATTGCTGTGATTAGTCAAATCAAATAATATATGAGGTCCCCTTTAAATATCTCTACTTGGGTTTTTTGTTATGACTTGTTAATTGTTAACTGAAGACGATTAGAAGGAGCAACTATTAGTACATCACATAGTATTTAGAAGCAGCAGTTATAGAATTTTTATTGGGTGATCCAGTCATTCTTCATCCCCTCTTGATGCAAAATTTTGCTGGACCAGTTTCCGAGCAACGGTGAGAATGATCTTGAAGTCGAGCGAATCACCAAGAAGTAAAATCGAAATACAGGGCCCATTACCAAATGTGTAAAAGAAGAGCAACAATCAAGCATGCAAATAAACATTAACATTCAGATATTAAAAGTTTCAAGTACAATTTAATCGTCTTTAACCCAAGACGAAATGAAACGAAAGGAAAAGAGAAGAAACCCATAAATGCTAAAAAAAACGCAGAGTAGAGTAAATGTAAAAGTGAATCATTCCCAAGTCCTGATGATCATAATCAATGTAGTCACCATGATCATCTGAATTATGCAGCAGGTTGAGGGAAAACAGAAGATAAAGAAAAAAGAGAGAAACCCCAAAAATGCGATAGAATTATTACGTACAAGAAACAGCTCTCCAAGAATCCTATTAAGCTAACACACGCACCTGATTCCCAACTGTTCCAGAGTTTCGAACAGGGTTCCGAGATAAATGGGTCTGGTTCGTTAGGTTGCTGAGAGCTGGCCGTTTCTTCGCCTGCTGCGCCAGAATAGCTGGAACCTTGCTGGGGTTCTCGGACGAAGATGCAGGCCTCTTCGTTGAGGAGGAAGAAGGCAAAGAAATCGACGGGCGACGACTTTGGGTAGACATATCAATCAGTTAGTAGAAAGAAGCACGCAAAGAAGAGAAGCGAAACCCTAAGTCCCAGTCGCCAAGCAGAAACCCCCTCTACTCGAGCTTCTTTCTTGCTCAAAGAACGCAGAGAAGAAAGCTGAGAAGACAGAATGCTACAAACATACAGAGAGGGATAACGAATCCAAAACCCTCAAAGAGAGGTGCGGTGTTAGGAGGCGTTGCTGGCTGCTGGGTTCATGGAGTTGGAGGATTTTCTTATGCAAATGCTCCGCAGTCCGCAGAGGCGCAGAGCAAACGCAAGAAAAAAAGGAAAGAAACGGCAGAGAGAAGAGAGGAGAGAGAATGCTACGTGAACAAGAAGAGCGTGAGAGAGCGTGAGAGTGTATAATATTATAATCCTTTTTTTAATATTACTTTTGAGAGGGAAAACCAGATGATTTGAATTAGCCTAGACAATACGTGATCGTGACCGTCCGATCTTTGCAGCGATCGTTATGCGGAAGAGCGGAGCTCTCAAGTCTGTCTGTCTGTCTCTCTCTCTCTTTCTCTCTCTCTTTTGAATTTTGAATTCAAAACTTATGTACGTTGTCGTTTCCGCATCAGGGTAAAGTGTAGAACGCATGTAATTCTGATGTCTTAAGGGTTGGAGATCTGATCGTTGACCATGTGGGCCACCTTATGATCTTACGGTTGAAATCCGTTGATACAATACTATTCTCGAGATAAGGAGTAGCAGCAGGTGGAGAATTGGATGTCTTTACTTCAGGCCAGCTGCTGCTGCTCAATAACAATAATGCAGACAACCGAGGAGATGAAGCTTGTATTGTTGTATTGTTGTATGACAAAAGAAGGAACAAAGGCCATTCATTCAATTCCAATTCAAGATTGATCCAATAAGCTCGGGGTGTTGTTTTTGTAATAGCAAGTTAGAGACGTGTCTGGGCCTGGGGCCTGGGGCCTGGGGCCTGGGGCTTGGGGCCACAGATGCCTGATTTTAGGCCAATCCGTATCATTGCATTAGTGGCCAATGTTTTAAAAAACGACCCAAAATCAAAACCATTCTGACGTTCATTGTTCGATTTGAACGGGTAGTCTGTTTTGATAAAAATTAAAATAAAAACGGTCTAAACTGTTGAATGAATTGAATGGATCAGTGATTCAACCGTTTAGATTAATGGGTTATTAATTAATTCAACAATTTTTGGTGAAGAATTAAGTTTGAAGTAAAACAAAACTGGTTGTTTGGATAATTCCCGGACCAAATGATTTGACCGTTCAGATCAACGGAGGTTCAAAAACATTGCTAATGGCTACTGACTACCCCCTAAATGATGGGCCCCAATTCAAAGGTGGCAAATTATAAGGGCCTGAACTCTCAACTCAAATAGACCCATCACGTTTAATTCCAAGTTCCATCTTCTCTGGGATTTTGGTACCCACAAAACTGTTCTCACGCCCCTTACATCCGTGATCTTTCTATAAATAAAAACATACAGATATGGAGGTATTCTCTATGCATGGCTGCAAAGGGCTGTGTGAACGATTTTGTGAGGACCAAATCCGAATCCCATTGACCAAAGATCAAAATATCGGGATACCTGATATCCAAAGTTGTGGTATCAATATGTATTTATATGACTGATACTCTCTTTTTTATATTTTTTTATTATTTAATTTATAATCATTAGAGGTTAAAAAAGAGACCTCCATACTCTTAAATATAAGAAAAAAAACCCTTTGTATCAATGTTTCCATGCATATATAGATTTACCAATACATATACAATGCGTCCAACATTTGAATATTTGGGGTTGTTCCTTTTTTGGATTTTGAGAAGTGGAAAAGTTGGTCAAACCCACGTGTTGTATAGCCAAGGGGTCAGGCCAAATCTACCTCTATCAATTGCCTTCCACTCCTCGTGCCCGGGGTCTTGACCCGACGTGGGGAGTTCACGGACGGACAGGTGGATTTGCTTCGTGGCGTGCTTAGTCCAGCTTGGAGATTTCCCGGTCTGACCCGTCGATGCTCTTGGCTCGACCAGGATCAACACGGCTTGACCAGAGTCATCCCGTGTCGAGTACAGCTCATGCGCGGACGTCAAACGATTTATCAACTATCGAACGTCAAAATTTCGCGCTAAACTATTTTCACCTCGAGGGTCGTGCAGCCGGTTTTCCTGAGAGCCGTTGGATGGCTTTGATCTCGACCGTTGATGCGCGAGTACAGCGGCTATAAATAGTGGGGTCTCTGGTCACTTTTCCTTCACCAATTTTCAACGATCGTTCCTTGAGATCGCGTCCAAAGTCCTCAGCTCGCGTCACTTTCCTTAGTTCGGTAGCGTTTCCCTTGGTGAGTCCCCTTAACCTTTTCAATTTACTTTCCATTCCTTTTGCGATGTCTAGTTCGAGTAGATCGAGTAGCTTAGATAACCTTCTAGAAGGGCCTGAGGCGGAGACCTCGGGCCGGGCTGACTCTTTTGACAGCCTTCTGGATGAGCCCGAGGTAGGGCCCTCAACCCGGGTCACCCCGGGTAGATTAGAGTCCACTTCGCGTCGGGTTCGGATGCTGGACACGTTCGGACCTTCCACTATGACGTCTGAGAGACTTCGGTCCCTTGTTCGTCAATTCAACCTGCCCGGGGAGTATGCATATAGCTTATCTTCGGGCAACATCCCTTGGGAGCATGGTCCAGATGAGATCGTGGTCTTCCGGGAGCAGCTCATTGCCGGGCTGCGCCTTCCTCTTCACCCCTTAATCGTTGAAGTCTTGAACCACTCGGTGTCTCAGTTGGTCAGCTTCACCCGAACTCTATTCGCAACATTGTCGGGACCATATCCCTCTGCTACGAATATGTTATCCCCTTGGACTTGGAAATTTTTTCTACTTTTCTCATGCTAAAAAAACAAGCGAGCTACCTTCCCGAGCACAGGCGGGCTTACTACCTGTCTCCCCGCTTGGGATTCAAACTTCTTCACAAACTCCCCAACAAGGTCCCGACGTGGAAGCGGGACTACTTCGTGGTCCAAAGTGCTACGGGGTGGCCGTTTCCTACTCAATGGAGGGCGGCTGTCCCTGACACCGACGTCATGTTGGATAAAGACATGGCGGAGACCTTTTACTCCTGGGCCCAGGTCGGGCTCGAGTGCAAAGAATACCTCTCGGAAGCTAAACTTATTCCGGCCAGTTTGAGTCCGGGTAGGCTTCTTTTCTTAGTTTCCTCTCTCTTTTTTTTTTGTACTGATGTCGAGCTCTTTTCGCAGGTATCATGGAGGCAGAGAAGACCCGCGGTGCCAACCAACTTGCTAGAATGAAAAGGAGGAAGCGGGTCACGAAGCGTGCTCGCGTGGAGTCTCCTCGGGCCGTGGAGTCCGAAGTCCCGAACTAGCCTCTGGTCATCAACTTGGACTCTCCCAGGGAACCCTAGGCGGCGGGGCCTATCCCCGAGATGGCAGCGGAGCCCGGCGTTGCAGAGGCTCGGGAAGCCGATACTATAGAGGCTTCTCGAACTCCAACAGTATTTTCCAGCTCGGGGAGCCAGGAGGGAGTTGGCAGTGTGCTGACTCCGAGCTGTGCTCTTCGGAAGAGTAAGAAGGCCGTTTACCCAGGTGAGGTCGCAGCATGGTCCGAGCTTCCTCCAGGCCACATCGGCGCACGTGTCGCGTCTCAATTCATGGTGGTAAGTTGAAGCGGTTTTTCCCTTTGTGCTTTTCCCTTCATTCTTTACTTTCTTGCCGAACTGACTCCTTGCTTGGCAGGTGAACTCCTCCATCCATGCCCTAATTATCCAAGCAGAAAGGGGCCTAAAGCGGGCACAAGCTGCCGAGGAGGCCATGGAATCAGCTCGGGAGCGAGCACAAACTGCCGAAGAGGCTTTGGGATCAGCTCGTGAGCGGGTCCAACATCTTGAGGGCGAGACTTTGGCTCAGAGGAGTGAGCTGAGGAGACACCGGAGGGAGAATGGCGCCCTGAGGCTCGTCATGAAGCACCTCGCGACCTCAAAAGGTGGCCTGGAGCACGAGGTGGAATACCTCAAGGTCGACATCAAGGAGAGGTCTGAGATATTCTTCCAAGCCCTTGAGGATACCAAGGTGAAGGCCGTTGACGACTACATAGCGTCGGAGCGCTTTGACGACCTGATGGTGGGCTCATACCGGAGGGGCTTCAAAATGAGCCGGTGGATGATAAGGCATGCCTACCCCGAACTTGATACCCGTGCCATCACCACCTCGCATATTACTTCGCAGATGGTTGCTGCGGCTGATGAAGATCCGGACTCTGATGACGAGGTTGACCCCCCGAGTGTTGCCGAGGTCCCTTCTGAGGGCAAGGGGGATGTAGTCCCGAAGTGATGTATATCGGGCCTGTGAGCTCTTCTTTTTTTTTTTGAACACTGTAAAGCAAACGTTAGTAAATGAAGTACTTTTTCTACTCAAGTGTTGTGCAACTATTCTTCTTTTGCCGAGGTGATTATATTGCCGAGCTACATAGAATTAGGTCCCCGAAACGAGGGGATTCCTCGAGGCGGGTCAACATAGTAAGGCTATATGCCCGATTTGTTCCCCGCCTGGGTAAAGGAAACACAGTTTAGTAGGCTTGGCTTGGAGCGAGCTGTACACCCCGGGTTTCATACTCGTGCTGCCTGCTCATTTTGGCACTAGCACTTAGTTTGCGTTGATAAGGTCCCAAGGTCATCCTCAGCTCGGCGCTTTAGCCCTTGGGATGCTTTCCTAGGTTTTTTGCCCATGCCGGAGAGGTGACTAGGTCTTGTAGTGTCAAGGTCTTTGTTACCTCGGCATTCTGGCCCTTAGGCTCTGGGTGCGGCACACAGTCCGCCTAGTTCAGTAGCTTATAGGTAATATTGCCTTAGGTTGACAATGTTCCAAGCTCGGGGTATTTGCCTACCCTCCAGGGTCTCGAGCTCGTACGCTCCTCCGAGTGCTCTTTTTACTCAGTAGGGTCCTTCCCAGTTCAGCCCGAATTTGCCAATGCCGGGCTCAGGTACCATGACCTTGCGGAGAACCAGGTCGCCGACGCGGAAGTTCCGCCTTTTGACCCTGGCGTTGTAGAACCGAGCTACCCTTTGCTGATACGCTGCGTTCCTAATGTATGCGAGGTCCCTCACCTCGTCAAGCAGGTCAAGGTTGGTACGTAGCTCGTCATTATTGATATTGTCATTGTATGCTTCCAACTGAAGTGAAGGATTTTGATTTCGTCTGGGATGACTGCCTCCGTGTCATAGGTGAGGATGAAGGGAGTTTCTCCGGTGGCGGTTTTCTCTATAGTTCGGTATGCCCATAGAACGCTGGGCAGCTCGTCTGCCCATAACCCTTTAGCACAGTCTAGCCTGGCCTTTAGTCCGCGAA